GTATACCGTATCACTTTAATTATATTTTTTTTTGTTATACTAATGACTGATTTTTTTAACTACAGCCTGTATCTCAAGCTCTATCAAATAACTACCCTTTTGTTTATTATATAGTTAGCTTCTTGTATTATACAATGGAGAAGAGAATTTTGTAACAAAGAAAACGGTTCGAATTAACTGATTAATTAGTTTATATTATCACATCCGGAGGATTGATAAGTTTATGGTTGATATTTGCATGAGTTCAAGAAATTGAATTAAGACTCGGTATCATGACTTTAATTAAATTTGTCTACGAAAATGCATAGAAAATACGGATTATGAGTTCATTTATTTCTAGCTATGGAACTTTAATGTCTTATTGGTTAATTGATGATATAAGTAAACATTATTGATTAATCAATAAAAAAATTGTGTTTTTGTTGTAAAAAAATGCCTAAGTAAGTCGTGTGAAATAGCACAAAAACGGCCTCGTTGTCCACCGTGTGATAAATGGAGGCAACATCATTAGAGGGCCACCTCCTCGTTATAAACACCTCCCTAATCTTACTTTATGAATTTTAAACTATTAATTATTGATATGAACTAATCATCGACACACAACTTTGCTCATTAAGTCATCCAATATTTGCTATAAATATGTCCTCCAGTCAAGTCCATAAAAATATATGCATATCTCTCTGGTCTCTCTCATATTTGCGACTTCGTCTTGGTGAGAGAAAATGGGAGCTCTTGATTCTCTTTCCGAATATATCTCCGACTACTTCCATGTCACCAGAAAAAGAAGGAAGCGTAAAGTCATGCAGGTCTATAATTATTTTCTCATCTTTAATTTTGTTGTACGTAGTTTTTGGTTTTTGAATGCAAAAACTCATAATTAACTATACCCTTACACTCAAAACTTTTTTTAGAAAAGTGGAAATTGTAAAATCTGTTATGTTCAAGAAACTAAAACCCAAAAAACTAAAACAAAAAATTCCACAAATATTTCCACTAATTCAAAGCCTAATTCTTTGTTTGCTTTAACACTTTCCTTTATTTCTTTTGGTGGTAGACGGTGAATCTAAAGGTGAAAATGGACTGCGACGGCTGCGAACGCAGAGTCAAGAACGCTGTTTCTTCCATGAAAGGTTAGAATCTCCAACTCGTACTAGCTCCTTATATGATGAACGGTTTCTTTAATCCATTTCTTGATTTCCATAAACCCTCACTCATTTCATGAATCTAATAATCTTGCAGGGGTGAAATCGGTGGAAGTAAACAGAAAGATACACAAAGTGACGGTGACTGGTTACGTGGAACCAAAGAAGGTGTTGAAGAGAGTGGAAAGGACAGGGAAAAAAGCAGAGATTTGGCCGTACGTTCCGTATAACATGGTCGCATATCCATATGCAGTCGGAGCTTACGACAAAAAAGCTCCGGCCGGTTTTGTCAGGAAGTCGGAGCAGTCACAGCCTTTGCCGGGAGCTCCTGACGACAAGATCATGTCCCTTTTTAGCGACGACAATCCAAACGCTTGCACCGTTATGTAATGAATGAATTAGTATAGTATTATTATCCACCGCATGTAACGTTGTATTTTTCTGTCTTATAGTTTTTGCTTTACTGATAACTTTTTTCTGTAAAATATATAAAAAATATATCAGTTTTGTTTGGGATAGTTAAATCATCTTTCGTTATCGTGTAGCAGATCATTAGGTATTTAGAGTTATGAGTTTATATAAGTAGTTAAGCTGTGAAAATAAAATAAACAAGAGTATGATAGCATTCTTATATATTAAAACAAAAAAAATATGATTGCGTAAAATTATTTTATGTTTGATCAATAGGAAAAAAAAAATGGTGACTTCAAAAGTTTTAACTAAATATATATAATACAATGTTAAGTACATATCATTCAAAATCTCATCACACTTTCGATATAATATATTCTTAACATATAATTCAAGGTGTTCTGCGACCAAAATAAAATAAAATAATTCAAGGTGTTCAATATGTTTTTTCAGGTCCTCAAATTTAAACAATACGGATACGCGAAATTAATTCGTTGGGTCTAAATTTTGTTTCATGTTTGCTTAGATTACATTTCAAGTGAATCAATTTTGTTTTTTTCCGTCGTCT